GAGGATCACCATGAGGGGGGACCTCGCCTGAAAGCAGTGAGCTTGGTTTGAGTACAAACTGCTCATCTTTATAAATTGTTATGACCATAGGAATGCTAGATTTTTTGTTAGGATCTTTAGTGTTCATCTTAATCATCCAAATCCAAAATTTGATCCCCCCCCAAAAAATGACAAGTCTTTTAACTGTTTTAATAAATTAGCTGAGACTAAAACTGAAAACAGTACACTTTAAAGATTTTACAACCCCTTAACAGGAATGAATTTTTTGTTTTGTTTTATTTTTTATTTTCAAACCTGCTTTGTTTTCCTGTCATCTTTGATGCCTATGTTGGTTTCTAAATAATTATAGGCATCACTGAACAAGGAAGGAACTTTGGTCTTGGACTGTAAGATGTTTCAGGAACTGTTGCTGTTCTTGTGTACTTGAGTTTTCAATTATTTGAAATACAACACATACACTAGATTATCTTTGTCACTTTTGTGTCTGTGGATGATTCTTGTAGAGAGCAGCAAACTGAGATTAACTGTTTAGATTAATGGAGTGTGGCCTATTAGATTAGAAGGGTTTCCCAAAGCCGTATAAGATCTTTCATTCCTATTTGTGGGAGTCCTACAATACAGCCTTTGCCTATCACATGTAACTCGATCCCTGCAATAATACTTGGCATAGAGAAAACCTTTTAAGCAATGAGCTCAGAGTGCATAGTGAACATTTACTGCTTAATTCTCGGAACCCCACTCTGAGCGAGGGAGCATCTATTAAGATGCAGATTGCAAGAACTCATCCGGAACGCAGGCTATGGAGATCTTCAGTTTTGTATGACTGAGGCAGCCTAGAATACCTTGAATTGCAACTGCACCTTTGAAACAAGGTAGATTCCCGAGCCAGCTGTGTTTTAACAGGAATCAGACCATCTCTAATAAATGTATAAATGTTAGTTGGATTAAACAAGTGTGTAGAAGTGTGCGTCTTGCATGACATTTATAAACTTGGGAGTGTAAAGTCCCCAGGGTCAACGATTTGACTCGAGTAAGCATTTACTTGGACAGTCTCTGTTGCCGGTAGCGTAGAGCAGTGAGGGAAATCAGGCGGGCTTCACGGAGGTGAAACTTGTATAGGGTCTTGACGGATGAATAGGAGCAGCGCGGATGAGAATGTCTCTTATCCCCTATTCTTTCAGGAGGCGCCTTTCAGCGACTGCCTCGGTAGAGGCGCTGAAGGAGCAATCCGAACGTCAGGGCTACAAATTGCAAAGGTTTCCCGGATTGCTTGAGCCTGGGCTTGCAAGTTTGGCTTTGCTCCGCCTCCTCTCTCAGAGCGTCCCCGGAGGCTCCGGGCTTGCCCTCACCGCCTGAGCTGGCGGCCTGATGGCGAGACAGTGACTCCCTGGGCGCTGGAAGGCTCAGGAGGTGGCCAGGCTGGCCCATCATCTGTCCATTAAGCCGAGGCCTGGCCCTCTGAGGAACGGAGGGGCAAACTCGCTTCGCCCACAGGGTCATCTTCGTGCTAGGGGTGGGGAGGGTCTGGTACTCCTGCCTCAATTTGAGCCTCCATCCCACGCTCTGATCACAGCAAGCCGCTCTGACTCCGCTTACCGCAGCTAGTACACACCTCACACACGCACGCGCACACACACATGCACACCATCTCCCGGGACAACAGACCCGCCCGCTACCCTTCATCCGGAGTTTCCCGCGATCTCAGGGCAGTGCATGTGTGGGGGCTCTCAGCTCGTTCCGCCCAGGCCCCACCCGAAGAAGCACCAACTCTGTAGTTTCCTTTCATTTTATTA